GTCACAGTCAGTTGTGCGCGGTAATGTTGCTGAGCAAATTCTTCCTTAACTTTCCATTTGTATCTTTGGGGCAGTGGGTGTTCACATCGTCTGTCTAGCTCTAATTGAGTGTTTTATCTTACTGTCAAGTTGTAAGAGATCCGTATACATCCTAATAAACATAAGCCCTTTATCAGACATGTTTCAGATATTTCCTCCCTTTCTTCACACATACACTATGTCGTGACGAGGAGAAGTTGTAAATTTTGGTCAGTCTAGTTTATCAGCTTTTAAATGATTTGTGCCTTTTGTGTTCAAGATAAGAAATCTTTGCTATTCAAGATTATAAAGACTTTGTTTTACATATCTTTAGATTTTAGCTGGTCTGCCGTCCATTTTGAAGTTTTGAGTGTGCTATAATGTGAGGACTGAGGGTCACCTTTTTTTGCTTCTGGACATCTAACTGCTCCATACCTATTAGTTGAAAAGACAGTTTTATTTGTTGAATTACCTTGGCACCTTGCCAAAAGTCAGTTGAACTCTGTGTATAAAGCTGTTTCTAAACCCTGAGTTCCACTTAAGTACACGCCCCATCCCTTTGCTAGTGCCTGAAGCTTTTCATTGTAAGTCATTAAATTATGTACTAGATGTCCTCCACTCTGTTCTTTTTCCAAAATGTTTGCATTTCCTATTATAAAGTTAAGTCCAGAATCAGTTTTTCATTTTCTATAGAAAAACCTAATGAGATTTGAATAGGTTTCATGTTGTATTTCTCACTTAATTTGGAGAGAATTGACATCTTAACAATGTTGAGTCTTCTAGTCTATGAACATGGTATAATTCTTCATGTTATTAAGTTCACTGGACTTTTTTTTTTTTTTGGCAGTACTGGTGTTTGAACTCAGGGCCTTGTACTTACTAGGCAGATGTTCTACCATTAGAGCCACACCTCAGCCCTAGTAATTTTTAAATTTTTCCTTTGGTGGCCGAGGAGTTTGAACCCAGGGCCTCATGCTTGCTAGACAGGCACTCTTAGCGCTTGAGCCACTCCACAAGCCCGCTAATTTTTGTCTTTATTAAAGACATTTGCCCATTTTGTGCCAAATGGAGTTGCTGTGAACATTGCTTTGTATCTCTTTTGTTTCCTTGGGATCTGTAGTGACCTCCCACCTTTATTCCTGGCATTAACTGTTTAGCTTTCTCTTTTTTTCTCCTAACAAGACTGTCTAAAGTTTGTGGATTTTATTGATCTTTTGAAAGAACCACATTTCACTTTAACTGACTTTTCTCTTTTATCACTTTTGCTCTTACCTTGACTGTTTCCATTCTTCTGCTAGTCTTTTTTAAGGTGCATCCCACCAGTTTTGATACGTTGAGTTTTACATTCAGAATACTTTCATAATTACTTATATGATTTATTCTTTGACCCATGGAGTATTTTAAATTTTTTAATTTTCTTTTTTTTCATTTTTCTTTTATTATTCATATGTGCATACAAGGATTGGTTCATTTCTCCCCACTGCCCCCACCCCCTCCCTTACCACCCACTCCGCCCCCTCCCTCTCCCCCCCCTCAATACCCAGCAGAAACTATTTTGCCCTTATTTCTAATTTTGTTGTAGAGAGAGTGTAAGCAATAATAGGAAGGAACAAGGGTTTTTGCTGGTTGAGATAAGGATAGCTATACAGCGCATTGACTCACATTGATTTCCTGTGCGTGGGTGTTACCTTCCAGGTTAATTCTTTTTGATCTAACCTTTTCTCTAGTACCTGTTCCCCTTTTCCTATTGGCCTCAGTTGCTTTAAGGTATCTGCTTTAGTTTCTCTGCGTTAAGGGCAACAAATGCTAGCTAGTTTTTTAGGTGTCTTACCTATCCTCATCCCTCCCTTGTGTGCTCTCGCTTTTATCATGTGCTCATAGTCCAATCCCCTTGTTGTGTTTGCCCTTGATCTAATGTCCACATATGAGGGAGAACATACGATTTTTGGTTTTTTGAGCCAGGCTAACCTCACTCAGAATGATGTTCTCCAATTCCATCCATTTGAGACAGGCTTTTATTATGTAGCCCAAGCTGACTTTGAATTTGGGATCCTCCTGTTCAATCTTCAGAGTGCTAGGATTACAGACATGAACTACCACACATGACTCTTAGAAGTGTGTTTTTTAATTTCCAAATGTTTAGGGATATTTTCCACATAGCTTTTTACTAACGATTATTAGCTTAATTCTATTATGATCTGAGAACATATTTTATATGACTTAGAAGTATGACTTATATGTATGGATATTAATAAATATAAATATAAGTATATTGATAAATCATATAAAATTAAAATCCAATTTATATAAATACGTATCATGATAAGATTTATGTGAACATATGACCTTTTCATTAAAATTTTTTATTTTACACACAGTTGTTTTATTGTTTGTCTTCATCACTGTTCCATGTGCATTTGAAAAGAATTAGTATTTTGCTGTTGTTGGGAGGTGTGCACTATGAATGTCAGATTAATTTGGTTGGTGGTTGCATTCACATGTTCTACGTCCTTTCTTATGTCTTTGCTTAGTTCAGTTACTGAGAGGAGTGTTGAAATTTCCAAATGTAATTGTGGACTGGTACATTTCTTTAGTTTCTATATCATGTATTTGGTAGGTTGTTTACTAAGTTACCATTTCCTGGCACATACTTACACAAGGCAAAACTAACAAGGATGGAGATCTACTCCCCAGATCTGTGATGGAGACCTGCAGAGCACCCTAGACAGATCTAGGGAGGAGTACAGAATGTGTGATAATGACCCCCTGGCAGCAGAGAGGCTCCCTGGGGCACCCCAGGTGATGTACTCCAAGAACAAAACTGCCTAGTGGTTGGGAGTAGCCTGGAGAGACCCCCACACACACCTTTCTTTTTCAGTGTCCCTCTAGTGCCTCTGGCTCCAGATATGCCTGCTGGCAAAGGAAAACATGTCCCTTCATCACAGAGCATGGCAGAAGGTGTTTTTGGAGCTGAGAGGCCAAAAAGAGAGAGAGAAAAAAGTAATTGCATAACTAGCCTCCCAGGGTAGGAAGTGTTTTTTGCTGAGGCCTGATGGATAGAGAGAACCCCACCAGTCCATCAGAAGTCGTGCAAAGATGCATGGATGAGCGCTAAGCAAGGAACAAGTGCAAGAACATAAAAGGAGATCTTTGTCCTGGCAACTTGGAGGGCTATGGTAAATCAGAAAGGTTTATTCCCATGTGATGTGGAAGAGAGCCTGTTTTGTATTGGAGAGCCACATGAATTTGCTTGAGAATGGATCCAAGCTGGTAAGGGTGGAGGAGGGGTAGGAGCAGAGCCTGTGGAGTCACTAGGCAAGAGGTAACTGAGGCTTTCACTGAATTGGAAGCAGTGGAAAGACAAGAACAGGCAGGTTGTGGGTCTACTGGCTGGAAGCGGAGTGGCTGCACGCCTGGGGAGAAGACTTGGCCTGGCATATTGAAGATGCTGACTGGCTGCTCGCAGGAGCAGACTGTGTTTCCACCACTGCCTTCAAGCTTGTCTTGGCTGACAGCTGTCCCTGCCCCATGATGAGATCGTCAGAACCCATAGCCTTTCTAGTCACTTTTGGGATTAGAATTGTCTTGTTCTCAGATTTCAAATCCAGTCTGCATAAAAATCCAACTGTCCTGCCTTATTCAGAGCTTCTCCCCAGAACTGTAGAAAATGAGGTCCAGAACCACACTGGTGTAGGGCATATCCCATGTCCTCATGCCTTCTCTGTGCCTCCAGGGTGAAGAAGGGGCTCTGGAAAGGAGGAGTTGCCAGGCTGTCTGGTTCTCTTTGGCTGACCAGAGTCCTTGGTCCTAACAGGTTGTGGCTCTTGCTTGTGAGAGGTGGCTTAGTATACTTGGGCTGCTGGCACAGGAGTACCATAGGCTGGGTAGCTTGGAAACACCACCCACTTATTTAGAAGTCCAGCTGGGGCATACCTGGTACTTTGTTACCCTGCAGCACCTGTCTCAGGTGGGTTCTTTCCTGAGGACACAGCTCCTGCCTTCCATGTGGCAAGGATGATAACTCCCTGCTCCTTTCTGTCCACTGGGCAGGGGATCCTCAGGCTCTTCTACCTCAAAGTCTGATGCCAGTGTCCATGTGACCAATCCTCAGGACACAGTTGGCCTATGGAAGAGTTTTCTGCCTCTTGTCCAGCAGATGGACTGGGGTGGTGGTTGGTATAAACAGAATGAAACCCAGGTAAGGGAGCAGTGTTCTCCTGGGGGAAGAAAAGAGGCCAGTGCTGGTCTCTTAGAGTTGAGTTCCCTGCCAGAAAGCCTATTTTGTGACTCTGGTCTTCTCTTCCTAGGCTGGTGGAGCCCTATTGGAGCTGGCTGCCCCTGCTGTGAGCCCTGAGGGGGACTCTCCAGTGCCCCAGGGGACCAGGGGCTGGCAGTGTGGCTAACAGGGAAGAAGAGGGGGAGAGTGAAGCCCCAGGTTGTTTATGGCTTTGTACTGGTGGTTGGTGAGATCCTTTCCATATGTGGGATGGGAGTGACACTATTGTCTCACCCAGTTCATCCAGTCATTTTTGTCCAGAGCATTCTTCTCAATCCTTCGTATTCTTCTGTCAGAGTAGGCAGTCCAGGTTATGGGCCCCCTGAGATGGAGAGGGGCTGCCCTGGACTGCTGGACACTGGGCTTGGAGTGCCCGCAGTTCTCTGCTCAGTGCCACTACTGATCCTTCGGCGACGCTGCATCTGTCACTCCTAGGCCTACACATGCTGATTAGGATACCAGGAGCAGAAGCGTTCTTTTTAAAGAAAAAAATTTATTGAATGTTCTCATGAGATGATGATATAAGCCATCAGAAGGTTAAAAATAAGATCACTGCTTCGAATAAAAATCTTGAGAGAAAAAGTTTCCAATAGAACGATTGTTAAAACATTTTCAATACCTAGGCTTTTAAATTTTTCTGAAGTCAATAAAAAATTGATGCCATAAGCATTTGCCATAACTGGTCTATTATGTTTTGTTTTTAAAGCAGGGCCAAGATTTTCTTCTTCATTCACCTCTGGGAGGCTCCCAGCCGGAGGCCAGTGGTGCCGGGAGGTTGGCCCTGGGTGCTCAGACTCTGCCCTCAGCAGGTCTGGGCACCACACCTTCAGATACCACCTGCTCGTGCGAGGCCTGCAGCGAGCGCAGGTATGTGCTGTGTGGGTCACATTGCCACGTAAGGCCACAGGGACATCCAGAAGCATGCTGGGCAGGGACCAGAAATAGGACTCTCTTGACAAACAGCAACAAACATTTGAGCCACCCCTGAGAGTCAGGTGGTGCTCTGGCTATTACAAGGAAAACACACAAATAAGACAAGTTCCTATCCTTGGTGGGCTAACACCAGGAAGCTGTGCTCACATTAGAATCTAATGTGAAACTGGAGATGGAAGCTGCTGAGGGGAGGGGAAGCCAGAACTGGACCTGAAAGGGCTGTGTACCCACCTGGGAAGGAAGCTAGTGGAGCCAAGTGGGCTCCAAAGAGTGCAAAAGCATGGGCTCTGTGGGACGCCTTGCACCCTAACTCTCCTGGTTCTTGTGTTGTATCACAGAGACATCTCAGCAGAGACGGACCGGGAACCACAGCAGCTGCAGAACTACTGGTCAGAAGTGCGCTACATGGTCCGCTGCATATACCGCCAGGCAGGGACCCCGCTGGCAGATGACCAGGACCAATCTCTGGTGCCCGACAAGGAGGGAGTGAAGGAGCTCGTGGATAGGTACACTCTGCTCCTGTGTGTTACTACCCTGTCCAAGGCCCTGCCCTCTCCTGCTGCCTGTGGAGCCTCAGCACTTGGATGGGATTTTTTTAGGTCCTGAGTGAAACTCAGCTGGGCTTACTCAGCCCTTGCTGCAGTTCAGGTCTTGAGGAGACAATTGGCCAGAGTGAGCCCTTTGGGTAAAATGTTGCAAGTTCTCTTGATTCTAATGAGACATGAACTGTTTCTGTCATTTTTTTGTATTAAGACTGACAATAACACCTACCTGAATCCCTCTTGTGCCAGGGATGATGTTAAGTACTTTCATAAGCACTCTTGCATTTATCAGCCCAGGGAGAAAGGCAGAGCGCTCCCGTTTACTGAGGCACCGTGAGGTCGGGCAGCTTTGTGAAGGCACCTGCAGCCTGGGGGTGCAGGGCAGCTGGAGTCAGGCCTACTTGAGCAGCTGCCTTACATGGGGGTGGCTCCTGCCCTGCACCTGCTCTTCAGCACTTACTGAAAGTGAGGTGGGCATCACTTCTATTCTTCCTTATAGTGTGAATGTACCATCTGATTTTTTGAAATGTTCCAAATAAAAGCAACAGATTTGAGCTGGACATTTCATGGGTTGATTTTCATTTTGATTTCTTCTCTCACATACTATGAATGCATACTTGGGGATCCTAAGAACTCACGTGTGCTGTGCAGTAGATTTTATCTTAGAAGTGGGGATAGTAATTGGTGACAGATTCTATTAAGGTGTGTTCAGGATTTGACCTGTGAACCACTGGTATTGTGTGAGGTAGTTCCAAGTGGTGTGTGCCTTTTTTAGAAGATCGATTTCCTAGTGAGTATAGGGTGCACATCACACCCATCCATGACTTCTCAGGTTACTAGTGCAATGTCTTGGATACCATAGAGTAGCATCCAGCACAGTGTTAGCACACTGTATCTGTTGAATGTGAGTGAGTGAGTGAGCAAGTGAATGAGTGAGTGAATGAGTGAGTGGGTGAATGAGTGAGTAAGTAAGCGAGTGAGTGAATGAATGAGTGAGTGAATAAGTGAGTGAGTGAGTAAGCTGCTGCAGCATCTTCCACAGGGTCCTGCCTCCTTTTCACATTTGCAAAAGTACCACATGGTTATTTCCTAAATTTATAAATACAGAAATGGACAAAAAAAAACTGTGTCTACTCTTCCCGAACTGAGAACTAAAGAGAAGGTGTCCAGTATTGTAAGTTCAGTGTTCCCATGTCACTTGAATCTTAATGTGGCTCTCCTTAAAAGATGGAAAACATTTTGTGTACAGTTGTCACTGGACATGATGGCGTACAACTGTAATCCCAGCACTTGTGAGGTGGGGGCAAGGAGAATCATGAGTTCGAGGCCAGCTTGTTCTATATAATGAATTCAAGACCAGCTTAAGGTATTCAGCAAGACCGTGACTCAACACACCAAGGGCTGGAGATGTAGCTCATTGGTAGAGTGTTTGCTTCACATGCAAAAGGCCCTGGGTTCAAGCTCTGTAAAAAAATTTATGATTGTCATGCTATAAAAATTAATATATCTTTTTTGAAATGTACTAATCAGGGAGACTCTCATCAACTTACAGTATTTTTCCAATCAAAATTTGTATAAGGCTTCACGTACTTCACTGTAAAAATTTTACTTGGCTCTTATCTTTTACAATCTAGGTAGTATATTAATTTAAAAATGGAACAGGTGGCAGTTTATGTACTTCTTTTTTTGATCTAACATGTTACCCAAAAAAAAGTGAAGGATCTGTTATATAAAATCCAGATCCAAGAACTGAAGAACAATCCTTTTTCTTTTGTTACAGGGTTTTGCTCTTGCTGGGCAGGTACTCTACCACTTGAGCCATACCTCCAGCCCTTTCTCCCTCTGGTTATTTTTGAGATAGGGTCTCATTTTTTGCCTTGGCTGACCTGGAACCTTGATCCTCCTGATCGCAGCCTCCCAAGTAACTAGAATTACAGGTGTGAACCCCTGCGCCTAGCCATAGCTTAAAGTTTTACAACTCATTTTTAAAGGTGCCAAGTTTGGCTGTTCCTCTGGTAACATGTTGGGGGCTGGGATGTAGCTCGGTGGTACAGCGCTTGCCTAGCATGCGTGAGGCCCTGGGTTCGATCCCAGCACCAAAAAAGAAAAGACAAAAAAAAAAAAAAAAAAAACCTCTCCCCCTCTGGTAACATGTTGGCATAGGTGCTTTGTTGGTTTTATCAGTGGTCCTACACTCCTATCTAGAGGCCAAATGCTGTAGAACAAGCTTTAAAAAGTGGACTTTCTCATTGGATATGGTGGTGCACACCTGTAATTCCAGCACTCAGAGTCAGAAAGAAGAGGATTGAGAGTTAGAGGCTAACCTGGCCCACATAGTGAGACTCTGTCTCAAGAAAACAAGCAGAACAACAAAAACAAAAACAAAAGGGTCATCTTCAGGCTGGAAAGAAGCTCATGACAGTCCCCACTGCTGCCGTGGCTGATGGTGGGCATGCATTTCCCTGTTCTACAGCTCACTGCTTGTATTTTATACGTTTTTATTGCTTTCTAGTTCAGATAATTGAAAACTAGGATTAACTGTATCTAAAGCTTTCTCTGATTTAAAAGTAACATAAGCCCATTCGTATCAGATTCTGAGTTCCTAGAAGGAAGTAAAATGCAGTCTGCTGAATCCCTGCAACCAGGTGTCACCTCTGCCAGGATCAGTGCTTGTCATCTGCTAACACTGACCCTTCAAAAAGAATCCCGTTCAGTCCTGCCTGTTGTCGATGCCCACTGTTGAGTGTGTGTCTGGGGGCCAGTTCTGAGGTACAGGGAGAGGCTCTGCCACTTGCTGACTCTGTGAATCCCAACACTTTCCCCAGACTGGGTGGGCTTAGGACTTACCTCATGGACACAGAGCTCCCAAGTGCAGGTTGACTGAGTGAATATGCATGCCTAAACAGTGCTGCGCAGAGGAAGCACTCAGGAAATACTGGTCTTTTTGTGAGTTCCCTGACAATATTTTTTGTGCCTGTGTTCCTCATCTGTTGGGGGGGGGCCCTCACAGGTCATCATAGGGAAAATGTCTCTGTGGTCACAAGTAGATGTCTGTAGAAATGTTTCAGGAAAGATGCTCACTGACATGAAAGCTAACCCCCGCCCCCCAAACCCACTCCTACCCCACTGTGGACAAGCCATGTCTGAGTGGTGACTTTCTCTGCAGACTCTGTGAGCGGGACCCCTACCAGCTGTACCAGAGGTTGGAGCAACAAGCCCGGGAGTATGTACTGGAGATGAAAGTCCGCCTGCTCCGACAGTTGTCGGCTGCAGCGAAGGCAAAGGTGCCATCTGGCTTACAGGGCCCGCCACAGGCACACCACTTCGTCTCCCTCCTCCTGGAGGAGTACGGAGCCCTCTGCCAGGCAGCACGCTCCATTAGCACCTTTCTCGGCACTCTGGTAAGAGACCATGCCCTCTTCCTCTGGCTATTGAAGTGAACCAAGGAGCAGAAACGTGCTGGGGGCGCTGATTGCACTGTTGCAGTCTCTGTGCACTGTCAAACTTCTTCCTTCACAAGGAAAGCTAGGGTAGGGTTGATCCTCTGGACTTTGCCACTGGATAGAAGCATCGAGTGGATGGGAAGCACAGCACAGTAATACTGTTTGGGAAGATGTGGGGCCTAGGAAATGAGGCATGGAGACAGGCAGAGGAGAGGGTGGCTGTGCATTGCTAGGAGAGCAAGGAGCCTTGTATCTCAGATTGATAATGCTGTTGCTGTTGTGGACAGCCGTGCACACGAGGGATGGGAGGACTATGGGGAGTGGCCTGGGTGCAGCCCAGGGCTCGTGTTCCTTCACACATGCATGCAGCCCCATGCAGGGGACAGGCCTATAGAAGCCACCCTACTCCATGCTGGGATTGAACAATCCTAGCAAAGACATGGGTGAGTCTGTGACCACCTCAGAAAGTAAATCTTGCCTGGGTGGAAGGAGGCGTGGCGTGGAATTAGGCATTGTGGTTGGAGGGACACCAGGCTCCCAGGGACAAGCCATTGAAGCTTCTTTGACTGCCTAGGCAAAGGTAGCATTGAGACCTGTGTCAAAAACAAAGACAGAAGAGCCAAGGTTGTAGCTCAAGTGATAAAGCACTCACCCAAGGCCCTGGCTTCAATCCCAGCACCCCCTCCCCACCAACAAAAAGAAGTGGGGCATGTGAGAGAGGTTAAGAGACATGAAGGGTACAATGAAGAGGGCTTAGATTGATGATGGAGATGAAGCTGAAAAATTGCTGAGAGTAATCCAGTCCAGAGGAAACCTTGAGTGCTAATGCAGAGAGATGTGCGCTCCCAGCAGCATAGTCTAAAGCAGTTGATGAGTACTTACATTTTTAGGAAATGAAGAACCTTGTCTTTTCCAGAATGCCCTATGAAAATGGCAGATTTTCAGGATATGCAATTACTGCCTTGGCATCAAGAGATTTGCTATGCAAAAAAACTATTTGAAGAGCTTCCATTACTTTCTGAAAGCTTTGTTGCAAGAAATGACAATCAAATGTTATTTCTTTCTCTGTCTCTTGGAAGAAGGCAAGGTGGAGCTTGGCATCACTGGAGATCTAGCCTGTGTGCTCTGGCACTGGGTGGGGAATACTAACTCCTCACAGGCAGTGTCTGGGACTGGGGTGGAGGGTGAGGACTGTCAAGTTCTCATCTAGTCACTTAAGCTTCTGTTTATCTTTCTTTTCCTTAACTAGGAAAATGAGCACTTGAAAAAGTTCCAGGTGACGTGGGAGCTGCATAATAAACACCTGTTTGAAAATCTGGTCTTTTCAGAGCCACTTCTCCAGAGCAGTTTGCCAGCACTGGTGTCACAGATCAGGTATGTGGTCTCAATTCGTGTGTGTCCCAAGGTGCAACAGCACAGTCCTTGACAGAGTGTATGTGTGTCTGAAGAGCACTGCACATGAAAGTTGTTGCAGGGAAAATAACTAGGGGAAAAAGACAGTTGGGCAGAAAGCTCAAAACCTGAGGAGTAATGCAATTAAACTTCTAAGTAATAACAAATATAAATTCTATTAAGATGTAACACCCCAAGTTCCTCGTAAGTACAGGAAAGCTACTTTACCTTACAGGACTCATACTTGGCTAGGCTGTGGCTCATAAATGTACAGGGGAGGCGGGAGGAGGAGGGAGAGCGCAGGTCAGAACCTGCTCTGGACGCCCGTAGGTCTTAGACCTGCATGGGCTCCGTCGCAGATGTCCCCTCGGTTCCCCAGCTGTCTGTCGCTGACCCCTTTTGTGGTCTTCCTGGTGCAGTGTATCTATGTAGTTTCTAACTGGGGAGAAGCAGGAAAACAAGACAAGTGTACAGAGTATGCACTCATTTGGGCACTCACTGGGGTGGTCTGGGATAGGCAAGGAGACGCAGGCTGGGCATTTAGTTAGGAAGTGGCTTCGCCTGCATGTGCTCTCACTCAGCAGAGCCCAGTCACACACGAACCACCACAGCTGTGCAGCTTGATGATTTGTTCCTGGTCTGTTTGCCGCATTTGGCACGTTCTCATGTAGAAGGTGTACTTGACACACCTCCTTAATTTAACCATGGTGAACTGCTACTTAGAACACAGCCTCATGTCTAGAAAGAACAACCTGAGATGCAGGCAGGTGAGAGAGAGTGATAATAGGTCAGGGCATGTAGTTGTGTAAGCGTGGTCCTTCCAGCATTGCCTCAGCTTGCTTCTCTTAAAGTATCCAGGAGCCTCTGGGGGGGGACTCCCTGCAAGAGGAATGTTCTAACTGCTGCCCTTACGGAAGAAGCGGGACTGAAGTGTATTCATAACTGTGGGTTGATGTGAAGAGCTTGCCGTTATCTTAGTGGTGAGGCTCATAGGCCAGAGAGCTGAGCGTTCTGCTAGAAGGAGTGGGTAGAGCAGATCTCAGAGCGCCTGCTCTTTGCTTTCTTTTTGTGGTGAGCAGTTGGCTTGATGGGGCTGTCACCCAGCTTGGGAGGGTGGCAGAAACCTAAAAAGCATTATAAAACTCCCTTTTTTTTTTTTTTTTTTTTTCCTGTGCCCATGTTCTGGTTTTTTGTTTATCTTCAGTAAGAATGGTCTTATTTCAAAAATCGGTAATGTTTTAGGAGTCTTGGATGTTAATTTTGGGGCTCATGCAGTGTTACTTTCTAGTCCCAAGAGCTGATGAGGGACAGGACAGATCTGCAGGGGAGAATAAGCAGCATGTCCTCCAGGGAGCACCAGGCATGCAGAAAAGCAGAGGCTGTGCATTCCCGGGAATTCTCAGTTGTCAGAACCAAGAACAAGTCAGACTTGAGTTTCCAGTGCACAGAATAGGGATTTAACAACTCACATTATATACTGACAATAACAACACTCCTTACCGTATTGAAATACATGGTTGTATTTTAATGCTGACACTTTGTCTCTAGGACCATTCAATTTATTTTTTTTAGCAATGCTGGAATTTGAGCTGGGTTTCGCACTTGCTAGGCAGGCGCTCTACTGTTTGAGCCAGGCCTCCAGCCTAAGTTAACTTTTTTAAATGGTAAAGTACAATACAGAAGCACATTAATGCAGCTTAATGGATTAGTAGAAGGCAAGCATCCTTGTCACCAGCACCTAGGTTGGCCAACTGGAAATCATTTGTTCTGCCCAGAATTGCCACTAAGGTTATTATTCTCCATACCCAATATTCTTAGTCTTGCTTGTTTTTTATTTGATGTGGTTGGGTTTATTTGTTTTTTTGACATAAATTATCTATTGTTTACCCAAAGGTCATCCTTACTCAAGAAAACTGATTTAGTTTTTTTCTGTTAGTCAATTTTCCATCACCATGATAAAATACCTGAAATAATCAACTTAGAGTAGGAAAGTTGTTTTTTGTTTTGGTTTGGTTTGGGGGGAGTTTTTTGGCTCACAGGTTCAGAGGTTTCATTTCATCATAGCAAAAGCTCTTAGCAGACAAAAAAGCTGCTCACCTCACAGTAGCTGGGAAGCAGGAAGGGTCCAAAGACAGAATATACCCTTCAAGGCATGCCTCTAGTAACTTACTTCCTCATAAAAGTTTCCTCACAATAGTCTGTTGAACTCCAGCTCTGTCAAAGGATTGATCCTTTGATGAGGCTAGAGCCCTCATAATCCAGTCACCTCCCAAAAGCTCTGCTTCTGACCATTCAACACATGAGCTTTTGGGAGACACTTCAGAGCCAAATCATAGAAGTTAAAAATGTATAAATAAGCTGTGTGCCAGTGGCTCACACCTTTAATCCTAGTTACTTGGGAGGCTGAGATTGGGAGGATCGCATTTCGAGGGCACTCCAGACAAATAGTTTGGGAGACCCCATCTCCAAATAACCAGAGCAAAGTGGACTGGAGGTGTGGCTCTATCGCTTGAGCCACACCTCCAGTGTAATTGCTTTGTAAACACGAAGCCCTCAGTTCAAACTCCAGTTCCACCAAAATAAATAAATAGATAGCAATTAAGGTAGTTCAGTTTCTTCTTTTTAGCAGCTTTATTGAAATATAATTTACATACTGTACAATTCATCCACTTAAATGTATAATTCAGTAGCTTTTGGAAGAGTACATTATTAATTTTTAAATTTTTTAATAGAATATTTGTAACAAAATTTGCCATTTTAAGTAAATACTTTAATAGCATTAATTACATTCATAGTATTTGCAATCATCATTATGTGTTTCCAAAACTTTTTTATCACCCCAAACAGAAATACCGTAATCACCAACGATAACTCCTATTCCCTCCTTTTTCCCCCATGTCTTTCAAGTGTTTAGTTTGCATTTCCACCATCACGTCCTCACTTTTCCTGACTGTTTATCTATTAAGGAATTGGGCCACTTGCCCTGCCATGGTGCTGCGTACATGTGGCATAGATCCTGCACCTGGCATGCTCACTGAGCATTCCTCGTCTACCACCAGAGCAATCTCTAGGACCTTGTCCACTCTGTTCTTCTGTCACTCCAAGTAATCTGTGTTTTAGAACTTGGAACAGAGGTGTACATACTTCTGGGAGGAGTGGGAGGAGGAGCACGTGGAAAGAGCTGGGTGGAATTTCACAGAAATTGTGTTTTGCATGAGAAGTGGAAACCAGCCATGTGAAGAGCAAGGCTGGGAGCAACGATGGGAAGAATACCTCTATTTCACAGCTGTGACTTGGCAACATGCAAGGCTGTTCTCAGGGGCTAGGGTCATATTAGGCATTGGTGCAGAGCCCACAAGGGACAGAAGGGAGTCATCAGTGCAGCTGTGTGTTGAGGAGCTGACTCTTGAGGGGTAGAATGAGCCTTGGAAGGACAGCTTTGGAATTTGAAGTAAACTTAGTCACTGTGTGCACCAGCACTGTGCTTTCCAATTTCTGGGCAATTTCCCTAACAACTTTTGCCTGCTTCTTCTCTGACATGACTGGCTGATGGGCACTTGTGTTGGTAGCTTCAGCAACCAGAGAGTTTATTTGTTCATTCCCGGTTTTTAGACAGTATTCCCAAACCTGACCCACTCTAGAGTAGAGTCAGAGAAGAGAAGAAGGACTGCAGTTTTAGTCCTATGATGAGATTTCAACTTAAAATGTGTTTGTCCTTTATTATAAAATTATCTGGGAAAATAAAGGAAAAAGTAAGCACTGTAAACAATTTGGTGTTTCTTACACATTTTTTTCCTGTATCACAATTTTTGGGGGGGCGGGGGTAAGCAGTACTGGGGTTTGAACTCAGGTTTGACTTACACTTGCTAGGCATGCTCTACCTCTTGAGCCAGACTCCTAGCCCTTTTTGCTTTAGTTATCTTTTGAATAGGGGCTCATTACTTAGTCCACCCTGAACCACAATACTCCTGTTTATACCTCCTGCCTAGCTGGAATGACAGGTATATACCAACATACCCAGCTTATTGGTTGAGGTGGGGGTCTCACTAATCTTTTGCTTGGGCTGCCCTCAAACCATATATCCTCTTGACCTCTGCCTCCTGAGTAGCTGGGATAACAGGTATGAGTCTCTGTGCCTGGCCACACAAACATTTTTAAATGTGCTTTAGTCATAAGTTTCTTAACATGGGCATGTTTCCATTTCCAAACATGTCAGTGTTTATGTTTGTATTACATACATATGCATGAAAAGATGTAATTGTAACATGGTTACAAATGTAACCATGCATCTAGATGTCCGGTAATGTATTTTGTTAATCCCCATGGGTAGCTCTTTGTTTTTTATGTAAAGAACGCCGATATTTAACCCTGTGCATGGTCTTTGTGTTGTTGATATAAATGTAATGTTTGATTCTGAATAAACGCTGTCAAGATATTTTTATTCCAGCTATTTGGGTTGATATATTGATGTATTAAGGAAATGAATTTTCTCTAACGATAACCTATATGTGTCTCCACATTTGCGTTTGAGTTCCTACTTGCCCCTTGCTCCCAGGAAACTCATCCTCTTTTTCAGTTTTGTGTGTGTGTGTGTTTAGGGGGAGTTTTATACTGGGAATTGAATCCAGGGACGTGCTTAGTAGATAAGTGTTCTACCACTTGAGCTGTGCCCCTAGTCCTTTTGCTTTTGTTTTCCAAATAGGGTCTTGCTGACTTTGCCCAGACTAGCCTCAAACTTGCAGTTCTCCTACCTCTGCTTCTTGAGTGGCTGGGGTTATGGGTGTGAGTCACCACATTCAGCACGTGTGTGTCTTTTGGTTCCCATCTGTCTTCTCATTGCCATCTTGCCAGCTTTCTCAATGCAGTATAACCATATATCTCTTCAATTGGGTTAGATTCTCTGTTTTACTTTATTTGAAAACCAAGTGTAAATTTTTTACTTCTCATTAAATGTTTTGTTTTCTCTGGGTCAGTGTATGTCAAGGGGAAAACAGCATACAACCATTATGAATACAATAATATACAGGTATACAACAATTTAATTGTTGTATTAAATTGAATCACTAGGCCTTAGTCTTTAGGACACTGTTATTCCCTGCTGATTTTTTTCCTGAGGAGTGCTGTTTCTTTGAGCATCTGTTTGTGAAATTCTGTTTGGGGTGCCCGTGTACATGATCTATCAGTACTTGCAGCAGCCCTGCAACGGTACATGTAGTAACATCCCTGTGTTCCATGACAAGAGACCAGGTGACAAAATCAGACAAAGCAGCAGCAAACACCCTCTGCTAATTTGTAACCTCTACAGCCTCTGCAGTCAGGCTGGGGGCTCCTGTGACTAAGCCTTTTCCCTCCTAGGCTAGGAACCACCACGCATGACACCTGCAATGAGGACACATATAGCACGTTGCTGCAGAGGTACCAGCGCTCTGAGGAAGAGCTGCGCAGAGTTGCTGAGGAGTGGCTGGAGTGCCAGAAGAGGATTGACGCCTATGTGGATGAGCAGGTAGGTCCTGGACTAAGGAACCAGCAGTTTTTTGTGGGTTTTGTTGTTGTTGTTGTTGTTTTAAATCTAGTGTTAGGCACTAACCCAGAGCCTCACCCATGCTTGGCATGTGCTCAGCCCTGAAACTTGATGTTTAACGTAGAGACTTTTGATGCTTTTAAGCAAATTAAAGATGTTTCCTTTTATTTCTTGCTTACTTAGGTAATAAAAAACAGGAATAGATGTCAGTGTCAATTTTGATTATATGGGTTTTCTTCTATTTCTGTATGAATTAAGAGATTAGACTTTCTATTTTTGAGACATTTGAGGCAATCCTGGATTAAACTCATGATGTTACTCTTTACTGTTAAATTTGTTGATATTTTATTTAGGACTCATATTAATTTTCTGTGGTATGAAGGTTATGGTGGCTTCATAGAATAAATTGAGAAACTTTTTTTTTTGATCTCCCAGAATAGCTTCAGTTTTCTGTTTCTATGAAGAAAATGCCACCTCTTCTTTCTTCTTTCTAGTGTATATATTCTGGTACATCAGAACAGGTCAGCAGTAAAAACTACTGTGGCAAACTTGTCTCTGATACTAAGCTTTGATGTGCCTTCTAGGTTTTCATTCAATGCTTCTTTTACTGCTGCTCTTCATTCTTTCCACATTTTGTAGAGGGTTGGTACAGTTTTAAAACTTCATTAGTAGGAACAAGTGCAGTACTCATCCATTTCTTCTCACAAGACACTCTAACCCATCAGCTAGCCTAGCAGTTTCCTTCTCATGAATACTCTAGTCATGAAAAAACTCAGTAGGACACAGGTGAATAGAAGAAATCTATTGAGCTTTAGGATATTTAATGCATTGGCTCAGTCCAGGATTATGAAACCTGAACCTTCATTGTAAACAGGAAGTTGGATGAGAGTCCTTCCATAATGTACTGTCCATTTGCTCTGTAGGCCAAGAAAGCTACTGGCCTCTGATGCCTATGTCATCAGTCATAGAGGCGACACTTGGAGGTTCAAAAGAAACATCATAAAATTATTCCTCCAGTGAGGAGAAAGTAAGACACCACCATCAGAACTGCACCATCAGGTCAATGGCATGTGCTCCCAGGATGGCTCCTCAGCTTTAGATTGGCCACTTGAGCATCAAGAACAGGACTTGGCACAAACTTTGAGCCCCAGCCCTTTTGTCTATATTTGCTTTTGACATAGTCTTGCTACCTTTGCTGGGTCTGGCCTCAAACTTGAGATCCTCCTGCCTCCACTTCCCAAGTAGCTGAAATCACAGACGTGTACCCACCGCTCAGCTTAGAAGTGTGTTTTTCATGTGAAAAACATGCTTAGGATAAGTTTGAGTAAGTCAAGTAAGATGCTGGATTGTATATATAGTATTGTATCTCTATTTGATTTACAGAAGATGTTTCTTATATATATCATTTCTGTCATACAAAAAATACCCCCTTGAAAATGTTCTGTGTGGTGCTGGGATTAAGGGTTTGTTTTTTACATCCACTTTCTAGATGACAATGAAAACAAAACAGCGCATGCTAACAGAAGACTGGGAGATTTTTAAACAAAGGAGATTCATTGAAGAACAGGTAAGATTGTCAATAGGACAGGCAATTAAAGGAAATGTGCGTTGCTCTGCACAGAGTGAGTGGCACCTTTACATGCAGGCGTGCTCTGTAAAACAGCTCACCACTTGACCACAGTGTCATTTTCTTCCAATGTTAAAGCTCTGTTAAAGTCAGTAGTCTTAACCTCAGGATAAACCAACTTTATACCCATTGTTTAATATTCCATGCACTCCTTCAGGAAAACCTGCGTTCAGTGCATGACCTCCCTTAGTGCAAAACAGCCATGGGAATTTTACAAACAAAAACATTGCCCTGAGTTCCCATCTCCAGCTTACATACAAAGAGGGTGGCCAGCACGGAACAGGGATTCATTCAGTCCAGCTTTTCCAGATAACATCGGGGCTGCAGATCCCATCTGCCTTCCTTGTCCCAGTGGTGCCTCCTTCAAGCAGGCTTGTTCTGCACCCTCTGCTACCAGGGTTCTGTCAGAACTCGCTAGTGACCTTCCCGTGACTAGCCCCAAGGCCCTGGCTTTATTTGGAAACTTAACTTTCCTTGATCTCTCATCATGGGCCACGGCCAGCCCTTCCTGCCTCTCTGATTTTCTTGGTCTTCTTTGGGACAGTCCCTTAGCCTTTCCTTAAAGCTGTCTTCCTCCCTCTTCTCTACCACCAAGCACCCTCCCCAGCCTGCCCTATCCTACTGAATGGCCCTTCCAGTCACTGCCAGTCCCACTGCCAGAGCTGGTCCAGGTTTCCTTCTTGACATCCAGATGCCTCTGTGGCAGCCCTGCCTTCCTGATGTCTGCTGTGAGGGCACATGTTCACAGTATGTTAGCATTTAGAAGCTGCCTACTTCATGGAGTCTTGTGTCACTCATCCCTGGCTTCAGACTCCAGAGTTGTTGCCCCTCTTCCTTAGTCCTGTCCACTGGTGGAAGCTGGGTCTGTTGGTTTCTAAATGAGCACGATACATATTACCATTATTTATTAAACAAATGTGATCCATAAAATGGGGGATGTGTCTTGCAAAACTAACCCACTGTTCAATAATTCCCTCTAGTTAACTAATAAGAAGGTGGTTCCTGGTGAGAACAACTTCACAGATGCCATGAGGCATGTGCTGTCTTCCCGGCTCAGCATGCCTGACTGCCCCAACTGCAACTACAGGAGAAGGTGAGCAGGGCTGTGCAGGTGCCACTGCCTAGAGCCCTCACTGAGCCAGCCTTCAAAGAGCATGGTGATCCATGCTGGCTCTCTTCGTAACTGTCCTTAATTCCCAATCAGATGTGCTTGTGATGACTGCAGCCTCTCACACATCCTCACTTGTGGTATCATGGACCCCCCCGTCACTGACGACATCCACATTCACCAGCTACCACTCCAAGTGGAATCTGCTCCCGACTATCTCCCTGAGATGCGCCCACCTAGTGTGTCGTCAGCAAGCTCAGGGTCGGGCTCCAGCTCTCCCATCACAATTCAGCAACATCCCAGACTCATCCTCACAGACAGTGGCTCTGCACCAACTTTGTAAGTTGTGACTTTCAGTAAAGTTTCAGAACTGCAGACAGCGATGTCTACACAAGTATGAGCACCATTAGAGTGTTTTCATTTAAAAAAATCTTTCATTATTCTAAGTATCTTTTAAAACATGAAATCAGTAAACTCAAACTTTGACACTATCTCATTACCTGAAAAAAATATGGTAAATGAATAAATGCCAGTACAGAAAAACATGTTGGTATGCAGGGAAGTGTCTCCTCATTTTGCTGGCAGGTGGCCAGTTGTCCATCACCTCATCGTCAGCCCAGTGTTCATGCTCCTTCCATGTCTTGCTAAGACCTCAGGCGATCACTTTAGCAAGCGAAAGTGATGAAAGCTTCTGTCTTCTGTGTTCCACATTTTTAGAAGTGCATCTCATTATTAGCGAAGTGTCTGTATACCTCTCACCAATTCACATTATAGGTGCTTGTTCCCAAATTTCTTCAGCGTTATGACCTTGTCATTTGCAGAGACTTCTTCACACACTACCTTCTGGAAAGGTTGCACATGGGTATGTGTGGTTTCTTACATATGTGCTATAGAGTGTGCAGCAATCCTGGACCCTGCAGAGGTGCTGAGTGAGGGATTGCTGCACCTGTCTTGGCTGCCTGTGGTTCTCTGATTTCTCCAACGGAATAGACACGTGCTCATCCCCTGCATTTGGATTCTCATGGTGACTCATATTTTCCTTCAGAGTCTTTAGCTTCTCAAATTGGACTCGTTGTCATACCCAAAGTCTTACAAATGCTACGCACACACACTACTATGAGGTACACCCCTGCCCTAAATCCAAATCATTCTGAAGGGCTTGTCTGAACTCCATGACTCTTCATTGAAAGATGTCAAACTGTGTTGTAGCCTTAGAAACCCTGTGCTCTCTTGGAGCATGAAAGAGTGTTGAGAGTTTCACAGATAGCTGTAATCCAACTTCTTATAGAAACATGGAGATTTAACAAAGAGTCTAATAAAAATTCAAATTGGGGAATTTCCAACTCAGGCTGCCTTCTTATCGTAACTGCCAGTGCCAGTTTTGGGCTGTGGTGCGTGGTCAATGGTGGAGCCTTTCACTGGGGCTAGGACCGCTGGCCTGGGCAGTCCAGACCCTCCACACCTTTTGGCACCCAGCAACTTGTGTCTTCCAGTATGGTCCTTGGCTTGTATTGTATTTTTTGGTGCTGTTTTCTAAACTGGTGAAAGAGAGTGTTGTGGTTTTGGTCACTGTACCTCAGTGTGCTCTCTAGTTCTTACTGGGGTTGAAGTTGCCCCATCATCAAGTATAGCCCAGGTCTGAGGTAGTCATTTCATTTCAGAACCCCAGTTTCCCATCAGTACACTGTGGCAGTGGCAGCACCACAAAAGTGTGAGTGTTGGCCGAGGCACATGCTCCATAACCTGGCAGCCTGAGCACCCTCACTGGCAAGTGCTTTTCATCTCCTTTTGGCGAGCTCCAGGTTGCAATGGGGGATAGGTGGTTGACTCTTGTCCTGTTAAAAATGGAAAGGACACAGGAGGTTGGTGATCTCAGCACTCTCCTAGGAGGCAAGGTCACTGTTGTTAGGATTTCTTCCTTTGGAGTTCGTTGTGTGCTAGGCTGAGGACAGACTTGTACACATTTGGTGGAGCTTGGGTCATGCCGAGGACCATGAACTCAGTGACAGTTGCTCTCATGCAACAGGAAATCACATTTTAAGTGACCTCCACAGATCAAAGCCATGAGATTTGTTAAATTTTTTTTTCAGTAAATACTCCATTTGCCCATTGCTTGCTAAAGCTGATGCTTAAGATTATAACCGACATTATCAGAGCTGGGCTTGTAGTAAGTGAGTAAATAAATAAAACAATAGTTTTTGCAAACATGAGTGCATTTGGTGATTATGAAGACTGGAGGTTGCTCTTTATACCCCTTTAATTTTAATCAAAGATTGTCTACTTGTGAGTAGCAGTAATGATAGCTTTACACCAGGGCATTTCCAGTCAAATGGAAAAGTAATAGTACTCTGATTACATTTCTGTAGTTTCTCAATATTTCTGCCTTTGGAAGAAGTTCTTTCTCATTCTTCCTGGTACCACAAATGTTTTCTGGTGTTCAGGTGCCGAGGAGATGTTAAGTCGTGTGAGTGACACTAACACAGTGACCCTCTGTGAACAAAGGCAGTGCTGTAAGAGGAGATGCCATGCCCAGTGGGCGGCTCCTCACTGCCTTCCCCACGCAAAGGGCCTCACGGTGCTCGTCTCTGCTTGCCTCAGTTGTAGTGATGACGAAGACGTCGCATCGTTGTCAGCTAAGTTTGCTGATATTTATCCACTGAGTAACTACGATGATACCGAGGTGGTGGCCAACATGAATGGAATCCACAGCGAAATGAATGGTGGTGGGGAAAACATGGCCCTGAAAGATGAGGTATGGGCATGGCTTCCTCATAGCAACAGTAGATGGCATCATTTGGTGGTCTGAAATTTAATTTTTCTATTATTCTTCTGCTTTGAAAAGTTAGCTACAAAGGGCTGTCTTTAAAGTCCCCTCAGGTAAGCAGCACCAGTAGTAGTTCTTCAGAAGCTGATGATGAAGAAGTAGACGGCGAAAGTAGTGGGGAGCCTCCAGGACCCCCAAAAGAGGATGAGACCCTAGAAAATGGGAGCCCCAGGACGGAGGAGAATAAAGTGGACACTCCACCCCCATCCTACCCAGCTCAGCAGGTAGGGTTTCATGCTTCACACCTTCTGTTTTGCCAGGAGACTTTCTCTGTGGATGCTTTCTGTAAACATCATAATTAAATACGAAATTATTTTCTTTCCAGGAATTTAAGATGAGAACTAAAGAGAAACAGGCATGCTTTTGAAATAATACAACTACTTTAAGTCTTGTTTCTCTTGCTTGACTCTTTGATCATCTGTCTTGATTTTGTAACACCCTGTGCTAATTCTGTGTGTTTTAGGTATCAGAGTTTGTGCTTATTGTGTTTATTTTCTTTGTACAAGCAAGGCATTTATTTGTTAGTGTTTTTTGTTTGGAGACAGGGTCTCTCTATGTAGTCCAGGCTAGCCTTGAACTTTTCCTTCTGCCTGTCCCTCCTGAGTGCTGGGAAAGTTTATAACAGGTACCCAATAAGCAGCTTTTAAATGAAAGGAATTAAAATTAAAGGTCAAGGTGCTTGACTAATCAGTTCATTTTGGTAGGTAATGTAAATATATAATTAAAATAATAAAGGCAATATTAAAAGGCATACATTGAGGGCTGGAGACATGGCACAAGTGACAGTAGGATGCTTGCTTAACAAAACATGAGGCCCTGGGTTCAATCCCCAGTACTGCAAAAAATAGATAGATTAGATAGACAGATAGACAGAAAAGAATTTATAAAAACATACATTGAGAGATCTTCCTCTTAACTCCTTTTGCAGCCACCCTGTACTGCACCTATGTACCCCCATAGATGACCAGTTTTATTTATTATGTGCAAATAGCAAATATTTACTCTTCCCCTTCCTTATGGAAAAACCATGTGCATCCTGACAGACGCTATCTCTGCAGAGTGCAATGTGTTCCTCCTGTGGGTTGCCATGTAGTCATTCCCCGCCCTGCAAGTTACCTTTTTAAATCACTTTACATTCAGCCTCTCTGTATCTTTGAATCTAAAATCTACTTTTGAATCTAAAATCTACTTTTGAATCTTTTTATTTATTTATTTTGATGCTGAAGATCAAATCTTTACCACTGAGCTGTCCCCCAGCCCTGTTAATTACTTAAGCATGTCTTTTAAATATTTTCTTAGTGGTGTCATAGGGATGATAAATGCATCTTAATTTATTACTCCAAGTTAGCACTAACTTGATTCCAGTAACACACACAGACACAGACAAACAGTGCTCCAGAACAACTTCATATCCTTCTTCATCCTTTGAGCCATTGTTGTTCCATACATTTATTACGTTTGTACTTGTAATTCCAACACTGTTATAATTATTTGCTTTCTACAGTTTCATAACCTTTTGAGAAATTAAGAGCCAAGGTGAGAAAAAATACATTTACATGAGGTTTTCCATTTGCTGGCTTGCTTACCATTTCTGGCGTTTGTCATTTGTTTCTCTGTGGATTTAAGTCACCAGCTGTTATTTTCTTTCACTTGGAGCACATCCTTTAATATTTCTTAAGTAACCAGTTTGCTAGCAGTGAATTTTCTCAATATTTATGTAAAGTATTATATATACAAATGACATTAATATATATTTACATGTAAATGTCATGATTGTGCCTTTACTTGAGGAACAGTTTATTTTTAGAGGTTTTTAGGTTCGCAGCAGAGTTGAGGAGGAGGTGGGGTGCTCTTTGCTCCTATCCTGCCCGACATAACCTTCCTTCCAGCACAGTCCCAACCTAGAGGGATACTGTGGCCACAGTCTGTGGTGCCACGTAGACAGTTGGTCCTCCTGGCCTGCCTGTGCTTCCTCATGGGGGCTGGGCTGCTGGGAATCCTCCCTGAGGTGGTTCTGTGCCAGAGCCTGTGATCCTCATACCTCTTCATTTTCATCCATGTGAGGATTCATTGAGCCTCATGGATCCCTGCTTTCATGTTTCTCACCAAATTTGGAAAGTGAAATTTTCAGCCATTATTTTTATTACTTTTTTGTTTTGATTTTGTTTGGTCTTTTTTGCAGTACTAGGGATTGAACCTAGGCCTTGAACTTGCTGGTCAAGCTTTCTACCACTTGAGCTACATTACCAATCCCTTTGCCTTTTAGTTTGTTTTTCAGGTAAGGTCTTGTACCAGCTTTGCCCAGGCTGATCTCAAACTGAAATTCTCCTGCCTTCACCTCCAGAGTACCTGGGATCACAGTACTGCACTACCATGCCCGGCTTGGTTTTTGAGAAAGGGTTTACCCTAACTTTTTCTTCCTGTCTCTGCCTCCCAAGTAGCCATTATTTCTTTAAATATTCTTCTTTCTTTCTCTTTCTCCTTTCCTCTGGGACTTCCTTAAGGACATGTCAGTATGCTTAATGCTTTACTACAGGTCTCTCTGTGTATTCTTGTTTTATCTCTTTTCTTTCTCATTCTTTTTGTGGATAATTTCTGTTGCTCTGATTGGAGTTCACAGATTCTTTTTTTTTTTTTGCCATCTTAAATATGTTTTTATATTTTACTCTTTCTTTGTAATTTCTCTTTATTGTAATTCCCTATATGACAAATCTTTGTTTTCATATTGTTCATAATTCTCTGAGCTGCTTTGACATTTTCGTGTTAATCCAAAATCTAAACCCACTCAGAACCTGCTTCTAGTGACTGACTGCCCTTTTCCTTCAAAAGTTCAGATTATACTTTCGTTTTTCTTTGCATACCCGATAATTTTTTGTTAAAAATTGGACTTTTCTTTTTTCTTTTTTTTTCAGGATCAGAGTTTGAACTCAGGGATTCTCCACTTGCGGAAGCAGGCATTCTACCACCTGTGCTACACCTCCAGTCCAAAACTGGACGTTTTAAATAACGAACCACCTTTGAATTCTGACTTTCCCACTGAGGGTTGTTTTTTGTTTTGTTTTTGTGTTTTATCACTTTCCTGAGCCTAAAGTGCTGCTGCCTCAGCTCATGTCATTTCTGCTTTCCGTTTTTCAGCCTGGCTTCTAGAGCTCTCCCCTTTGGTTGCTTGGTTTATTGGGCCAGCTAGCAGTTTGGTCAGAAGTAGCTCACATACTTCCCCAGACTCCACTGTCCCTGTCACATCTCTATAGGTTAGATAAATACTCCTTGCCCAGCCTATTCTCTACCCAGCTTTCCTGGTTCTTTGCTCTGGGCTCTGAGATCTCCGCTGGGTGTGCACTGAGGCCTTCTGGTCCACCAGCAAACTTATAGACAACTGAAGCAGCCTTCGTAGCTCTCTCATTTCCAGGGTCTCCCAATTAGGTTTCTGTTTTGTCTGCTCCTTACCCCAAACAGAGCCCCAGCCTCAAGCTAGCAGAGCTGTAGGCTTCCTGGTTCCCTCTGAGTCCACTTCTGTTGGCCCACCTTCGCTAAATGTGGGGCTGCCTCCCTTAGCAGCAGAGCTGGTTTTCTCTGGCACCCCTGCTCCACTGTGCTGCCGTGCTGCTCATCACCAGCGTGGGGTGGGAAAGTCCAGGACCCAAGCAAGCACACTGGGGTCGTGCTCTCTTCCCTGAAGCTCCAGCCAGCTTACGAGGATAAATGAATGCTGATTTCTAGTTTCCCTTGTCAATTGCATTCAGGTTGATGTTTGCTTGGAGGAAGAGGCATCAGCAGCCTTTTCACTCTCCCTGCCTGCAGTGCCATCTCTCCACTTCCTGCTGGAGGTCTCTGTGTGGTGTTGATTGCGCAGCAGGAGCCCAGAAAAGTCACCTAGTGGTCTTGTTCTCCTTGGTCCCACCTCCCTCCTGACACTCAAGTCCCTTTCCCCTTTTTACACAGGTCAATGGCTTCTGCCTCAGCAGACACCCAGCTAGGAATGAAGTGCTCCTCTCTTCTTTTGTAGGTTTCCTCGGTCTCAGGCTCTGGGGTCTCTCCTTTACCCCGCAGGGAGGGCCTGGTCCATTCAGATTATCAGGATAAGCCCTGTATCTTTGTAACTACTCAGCAGAATGTGACTGACTTTAACATGATTCATGTCATTAAGGTTCCACATTAAACAGGTACTTTTTCTTTCCTTTTAGGCTGAACAAACTCCAAACACTTGTGAATGTCACGTTTGTAAGCAGGAAGCTTCTGGGCTGACGGCATCAGCAATGACGGCTGGAGCCCTACCTCCTGGCCATCAGTTCCTGAGCCCAGAGAAGCCCACACACCCTGCGCTGCACCTGTACCCCCACATCCACGGACATGTGCCATTGCACACGGTCCCGCACCTGCCTCGACCGCTCATCCATCCCACTTTGTACACAGCGCCCCCCTTCACACACAGTAAGGTAAGCCAAGGCACAAAGGGTCTGGAAGTGTCCTGCATAGCTAAGGGACACTCTTACAGGAGCATGTGGGTGAACTAAAGCTCCTTATGGGACAGTGCACTGTGATCTCTCCCGTGCTTGTCGTTTTGAAGGTTTACAGTTTAAAAAGAAAATTAATAACAGTCTTTGTAAAAAGCATGGTTTATTTACTTGGAATTAACCAGAGCATAGTTTTCAAATGATGTTGCTTACAGGTTAAACTGGGGGATGCGTCACATGTCTACTCATGATCTTCTCTGATGTGGCTCTTTTCCTTAGTGTGAACTAAAACTATTTGAACACAGTATGAGTCCTCTGATACTGCCTGGGCTCTGCAGGGTCCAAATGAGTCTGCATCCTTACCTTAAAATCAAAGGCCACATAAAAGTACACAAGCCTAAAGAAGAGTGCCAAGTCCCATGTTGTGAAAAGATCCCTTCACCTGAGGTTATAGAGAGGAAGCTGCAGGGCAGACAGGAGGGGCCCAGAAACCAGGTGTGCTGGAAGCCTGTTCAGGAAGTGATAGGGAAGATCTAGAAACAGTTTTTATGTGCTTCTCAGAGAACCCTTCATGTATTTAATACCTTATACTTTGAATCGTAGATGGCTTTGCCTCTGTTTTGGACTTACCTTTGTTGACTCACCATAATTTTGATTATTTTTTGTTTTACATTATTCCAGTTACTCTGGTTCAAGGTTCACTATAATCAGTCAAAACTACCATTTTCCCCAGACTCTACTAACTTGTCACTTAAAGCAGTGGTTCTGGACTGGAAGAGAAAGGGAGAGGACATGGATGGCATGGACAGGCTTTTCCAGACCACATGCCTGCCTCCTCCATCTGCATTGGCCACAGGTAGAGAGTAATAGTGGCTTAGAAAGTGCACTTTGTCACGTTCTGTTAGAATAAGTACTCAGCAATTGCTCAAATTCATGCTTAGCGTTTGTTAGATTAAATATTGCCCAACCTGTGGGGTGCGGGTGGCTCGCACCTGTAATCCTTGCTTCTTGGGAGGCAGAGATCAGGAGGATCATGGTTCAAGGCCAGCCCAGTCAAATAGTTTGAGAGACCCTATCTCAAAAATACCCAATACAAGGCTGGTGGAATGGCTCAAATAGTAAAGCGCCTGCCTAACAAGTGTGAAGCCCTGATTTCAAACCCCAGTACCTCCAAAAATTAATAATTATAAATAAAGGCAAATAAATACTGCTCAACTTGAACATTTAATGATGTCTTTATTAATAAAATGCATTTCAAAGCATTTTTAGATATATTGTCAAGTGCAGGCTATTTTCCCAGTCTTTGTGGTTTGTAGTCTGTTTTCCTCTTGGTAAAGATGTAAAGTTAAGAAGCTGTCTACTCCCTGTTCTTCTCTAAACAGAATTCCTTTTCTAGTCCTGAGAAAGGAATATAAAATGTTCTATCATATACTGTTTCTTGGTTGAAGTTATTCAAGAATTAGTTCCTAAAAATATCCAAGTAATGAAATCGAGTATTCCCAGAAGCCTATAGAGACACTGTAGTTAAAAACTGATTGCCTTCCCTGACTTTTGCCTTTCTTAGGTTATTTTTAGTATCATTGTCTGTATCTAATATCTGTTCCTTTGACCCCTGCTAAACTTTAATGCCATAAATAGATGGGAAAGATTCATGTGTAGAAAAGCAAAAATAGAGGCATCCATACATAGTGGAGGTCACATAGAAACTTAGGAATTTATCATCGAACCCCACTTCAGCCTCTTTGTTTATTAACATCAAGGCCATTTGTTGATCCATTAAATACCTTAGTTGGGGATCAGCTTTATTTGGAAAAACACAGTTGTATCTGGTGCAGAAATGTTTGTTTCTCTGTACAAGTTTGTGTTGTCTCTTACCAGATCTTGAAGCACTAGCTTGGATCCTTTGAGTTACTGTGGCTTACTTGAACACTGCACCTGTGACTGTGCATAGACTCCCAATGCAGTAACAGCTCTGTGGAGCTGGTGGACTCACCTTCTAGAGACAGATGACAGGGGTGCCAGAGGGCTGCCCAGGGTACTGCGCCACATCAGTAAAGGGGCAGAGAGGAGGTGGTGCGTGCGGAGGGCGGCCTGTGTCTACAGCTGTTCCTATCTTGTGAGGTGCCAGGGAATTAACTTTCCAGATACTTGAAAACTTACCAACTATCTAGTATTTCTAAATTCCATTGTGGCCTAAGAGCATAATATTGTATGATTTCTTGATCTTTTTTTTTTTTTTTTTTGTGGTGCTGGGAATTGAACCTAGAACCTTGCACATGCTGTGCAAGCCCTCTCCCATTGAGCTACACCCCCAGGCCTGATTTCTGTTCTGTTGAATTTAGAAAAGCGTGTTACACTTCCATGATGTGCTCCATCTTGGTGAGTGTCTGCTGTGCCTTCTGTTGTTGGGTGAAGTGATGGATAGATGCCGGTTCTACCAAAGTGATTGGTGGTATTGTTAAGTTCTACCGAGTCCCTCCTGGGATTCTGCGTGTTGGAGCTGTCCACTTCTCATAGAGGCTGTTAGAGACACAGACTTGATAGTGCATTCGTCTATTTCTCCTTACAGGTGCATAAGTTTTGCCTTGTTGCTAGGGGATGTTAAGGATCCCTAGATATGCTGACCTGTGATCAGCATATAAAACCCTTCTTTTTTTATTAGCATTTAATAGTTGTACAGGGGGAATACCTTATGACATTGACATATGTGCCTACAATATATTTTAATTAGATCCATACCCCCCTTTCCCCTTCTCCATCACTTAGAATAATTTCAGCAGGTTTCATTGTTCTATTTTCATACATGTACAACTGCCCTTCTTTATCTCCTGCAACTTTCCTAGCTCTGGAGTCTGTTCTGTCTGAAAGTATCACAGTTCCTCCAGCTTTTTTGATTAGTGGTTACATGGTATATTTTTCTTTCCCCTTAGTTTTTTTTTTCCCCTTGTGGTAAAGTATGTGTAACATAAAATGTAACATTCTAACCACTTTTAAGGGGTAGTCAGTGGAGTTAATTTCACAACACTGTGCACCTGTCATCACCGTCCATCTCTGTAACTTTTTATCCTCCTCCCTCAGCCTGTCAGCCCCCATTCTGCTTTCCCTCTCTGAGGTTGTGGTTATTGGCATTGCCTTACATAAGTGGAATCACACAGTACTTGTCTTTCTATGCTTAACTGACTTCACTTAGCGTGATGTCCTCAGGATTCCTCTACATCGTAGCATATTGTAGACTTTCCATTCATTCATAGATGGGCCATGTTTCCCTTGTCTGTTCATTAGTAGTGAGCACTTGTAGGTATTGTGACTAACACTGCTATGGATGCGGATATTGTTGAAGATTCTGCTTTCAGTTCTTTTGAGTATATACCTAGCAGGAGAATTGTTGGGTCATATGATTATTCTGCCACCACATTGCCTGCATCATTTTCCATTCCTACCAACAGTACACAAGGATTCCAGTTTCCTGACATCCTCACCAACACCTGTTACCTCGGTTTCTTTTGACTGTAGCAGTCCTAATAGGGGTGAGGTGGACTACCATTGTAGCTTTGATTTGCTTTGCCCTAATGATAGACATGTGCTCACCAGCCTTTTCTTTCTTCCCTTTCTTTTCCGTTGGTTTATGTGTCTGTCTGTATTGCCAGTGCCACACAGTTTTGATTATGGCAGCTTTATAGTAAATAGTGTAAGTCCTCCAACTTTGTTGCCTTTCAGGATTGTTTTGGGTTATTCAGGCTCTTTGAGATTTCATATGAATTTAGGATGGGGTCTTTCCTACTTTTGCAAAAACTCAGCATTGGCATTTTGATAGGCTTGCATTGATTCTAACTTTTTGGTGATCTGAACATTTTAGTAGTAGTCTTCTAGTCTGTGGACACAGTGTGATGAACTTACTCAGTTAATTCTTAAATATTTTATTCTTTTTGATGCTATTGTGAATGGAATTTTTTTTTTTGTATTTCTTTCAGATTATTCATTGTTAGTGTACAGAAATGCAACTGATTTTAAGTGTTGACTTTAAAGCTTGCTACTTGGTTAAACTCATTTATTAGGCCTAACAGTCTTATTTGGGGTTGTCTGCAAAAATCTTTAAGATTTTCTATATGTAAAATTATATCATCTTCGAACAAAGATTTAGTTCTTCCTTTCCAATTTGAATGCCTTTTTATCTTTTTTTTCTTGCCTAGATATTCTGACTGATTTCTAATACTATGTTGAATAGAAATGGCAGAGGCAGGCTCCCATGCCCTATAGCTAACACTTACCATGAGGATGTTTGTTTTGGGTTTTTTGTGGATGGAGATGGTTTTTTGTTGTTGGTGGTGTTTTTATCCTTGCTCTGTTTTGTGTCTTGAGATAGGGTTTATAATTCTACTGCCTCTGCCTCTTTGGTGCTGGGATTATAGCTGTTTTTACCATCACAACCACCTCTCATAGATGGTTTTTGCTACATTAAGGTAGTTTCTTTCTGTTTCTGCTTTGTTGAGTATTTTTCTCATGAAAGAGTGTTGAATTTAAAAAAAAAAAAAAAAGTGGAGCCAGGCACCCGTGGCTCATGCCTTGTAATCCTAGGTATTCTGGAGGCAGAGATCAGGAGGATAGCTGTTCAAAGCCATCCCAGGCAAGTTCAGGGAGACCCTATCTCAAAAAACCCTTCGCAAAAATAGTACTGACTCGAGGTGGTAGGCCCTGAGTGTAAGCCCCTGTACCGCAAAAAAAAAAAAAAAAAATGTGAATTTTGTCAAGTGCTTTTCTGTGTCAGTTGAGATAATCATGCAGGTTAAGCCTTCATTTTGCTAATGTTGTATATCACAATGATTCTGTTCTGTTGAATCATCCTTGCATACCACGATGAATCTCACTTGGTCCTGGTATGTAATTCTTTTAACTTGCTAGTAAATTTGTTTTTCTTGCATTAGGTCAGTTGTTTCAGTGTTCATAAGACACATTAGTCTGTAATTACCTTGTGGTGACTTTGG